TAATCTGTGGGTGTTTCAGCTCTCAGCCTCTGCTCCTACTCTGTTCCCCATGCCATGTGCAATCCTCTATCCCCTGCCACCCACCCTGTCTCCCCAGTCTCTTTCCAATGTCTCCCATGCTGATACAGCATGAGACACCACCTCCTTCTGCCACTTGTTCCATTCAGGCTTGGATACAAAGAGAAAGTCAGGCATCTTGGCTGCTCCCTGACTTCTTTGTGGTGTGGAGAAAAACTCAGAGAAATCTTGCTCCCCAGCTTACATCCCAGAAGGGCTACAGAGAGACAAGATGAGGTTGCCTAAGTTGTGACAATCACGAGATAGCTGATGCTTGGAAGTCCACATCTTTCAGACTCACCTGTGCTGGATGAAAAATGCCATTTTGTAGCAAAGACCTGCATACTACTGTATTCTTTGAACACAACATAGTCCCAAAACAGTATTCATTATAGACTGAAGGAAGGTAGCATTGAAAATAATTTGTTACACACTTCTGCTTTCAGTTGCCATGGATGGCTTATGCTTCAGGGTCCCTATTTAGGAAGGTCACAAGACTACAGTGCAGCAGGCCTAGCACAAGGACTGAGAATAAGCAAATAACTAAGCTATTGGAAAACAAAGAACATAATAAAAACCTGTGGTTGTTGGGGTCCCAGTGGGTATGCAGGGTGAAAATGTAATTGTGTTTCCCAATTGATTAAGGTCTCTGATAACTTAAATTAGGTGAGCCTACAGACTTCAAAAGAAGGACATTAGTGAAGAGTGGCAGGACAAAATACAAAATGATCATATTCACAGTGTCTAATTTTAGTGGCCAAGTGCAGATCCTAGAATCATTAACAATACAGAAAATACTGGTACATTTTTTATCTTTTGATCAGCTGAGGTAGAAATATTAAAAGAAAAATAATTTTTACCTATAACAATTAAAAGCCCTTTGTATGACAGCTTTGGTTACACTGGAGAAAAGTCCCCTCTATTCCTGACACCCCCCCCCCCCCAAA